TTTAATTGAAAGTTTCTAAAGAATCTTTAACACTATCCATGAAGGCCTATTTTTATTTTCTCAGTGATGGAGGGGGGGGGGGGCTTTCTGGCCCCTCCTTTTCTTTAATATCTAATATTTTTACATGCTGCTAGTGAGAGAACCTGTTGTTAAAATATTTGAATCCCACCACTGATATTCACTATATCTGTTGCAGGTTAGGTCTTTTACTGAATACCAGGGCTTATCAAGCTGGCAGGGGTATGACAGACAGGCATAGTAATGATTGAGATACTATTTATATCATCAAATGTTTGAACAACTTTTTTAGTTAAGCTGGTGAACTATAATTTTTATCAATTTTATTTGAATCACTACACATCAGAATTAGGTTTCAGATTTAAAATCAATTACTTATTCTACACATAATCGTTTATTATTAAGTTTTATTTAATTATTTATTTTACTTGAATTAATGTTTTACTTATTCAAAAGAAGTACTAAATCAGTAAGCCAATCTTTTTTTTTTTATCCTGGAGCATGTCAAGTGGTGACAGCATCAAAAGGGAAAGATTACATAGTTACTTTGAGAATTCAGAAGTGAAAGTAAAGAAGAATGTAAGACTAATTCATCAGAACTATCTGATATATACATTGCCAACAAGGCCTTTCATCCAATACCAGGGCTCTTTAAGTTGGCTGGGATACAACAGACATACTAGTAAAGATGCTGTTAACCAGTCAACAAATCAATTATTGTTCGAAGTATGATACATTTTCTGTTTCTATAAGTCATTTAAAAGTAAGGGTACAAAACCTAGAAATATACCGTTTACATTTTGCACCATATAAACGTCTGAAGACACTACTTTGTCAGGGGTGGGCCCCTTGACTGCTGAATTAATCAACAGTTTCCACCTAATTGTAGTGTTAGTTTCAATCAGAATTTGTTTAAAATAAAGAAACTGCTCTGAAAAATTCTACAATGAATGCATATTCTACTTTAATCTAAAGCAAGGTAAGACAGGTTTATATCTGCTCATTTTAATTTCAGTCTATGGCATATCATTGTGAATATCACTCAAAATTCAATTGACTTGAGCTTAATTTATCTGTACAAAAGAAACAAGTAAGAGTAACTTTTGATTTGTTTCACAACCTGATTTTTAAGATTTTTCTTTTTTACCTAGCATGATAAATTATAAGTAGTACTATAAAAACATTATTAAAAAACAACTTACTTTCCCAGAAATTCATATTAATTCCATTTTCTGTACTGAAACTCACAATATTAAAACCACAAGTTTTATCAGATGTTTTTCGAGGTGCTGCTGTCTTGGACAGGTTATGTAAGAAACTACTTTTTCCAGCTCCATCTAAGCCTAGGACTAAAATTTTTCTTTCTGGTGGCTCATCTGAAAGCTTACAAACAGAGATCATGTAGTCATGTATATAATCCACATGCATTATCCCTCGTATTTATTCTAACTAAAAACTATCTGCCAGTTATTTTACCAACTCACCAAATGATCTAAATAATTTTTAGAGCAGAAGCATTATCTTTACAATCAGCAACACTCAAAACCTTAATATTATCATCAAATTTAAGCAATTTATTGGCATTTCATTTATTTATGTCATTGATATAAATCAGAAAGAACAAAGATGCCAAGAATGAGCCCCGAGATATCCCACTTGAGACATTAATCCAGTTTGACTGAATTCGGTGACGAGGAACCCACTTTGAGACTAATAATGGCTAGAGATGGCTTGAATGGGTAATGAAGAAAAACTTCAGATGATGACAAAACCTTGTCGAAACGTTGTACATGTTAAACTTATATTAAAGTTTTTCTTCATTACCCATTCAAGCCATCTCCAGCCATTATTACCAGTTTGAGTGAACTCCATTTATAACAACTCTCTGCTTTTGTCCCTTCAGCCATATTTGGCCAACTTATACCTCAAAACTCTAGAGATCATTTTTAACATATGCTTTATGAAAAAACAAACAAACCAAATTAACACCTTTCCTCTCATCAATACAAGCTTTAGCATCTTCAAAGAATGTCAAAATATTTGTAAGGCAAATTTTTCTTATAGTGAAACCATGTTGACAGTTCAAGAATATGTAAAACTTTGTTAAATGACTTTACAAAGCATTTTTATCAACTTTCTCACCGCTGATGTAAGACTAATAAGCCCACAGTTACCAATACAGTTATTAACAGTAGTAACATTAATCAACTTCCAATCCTCTGGCACCCGATAACTACTCAAGTACTTACAAAGAAATACTTGACAAATGGCTCACTTTTCCAATCCTTAACTAGAACTGGGCAATTAACTCGATTAATCAATATAATCAATCACTTATGAAGATCAATTATACTGATGTGTGTCACATCATAATTAGGATTAAATTAATTAATGTCAACTGATTAAAATTAATGTTTTTGATTACAACTGGTTTTGATTATTCCAACTATCCAAGTAAGCAAAATAGTTACTATTTCTTACAGTTTTCATTTAATTCACCTAATCATAATTACTGTAACCCATTGTTATTATTTTCAATTATATTTGAAATACGAAAGTCACATAAGAATAACCAATCAGCTGAATGTAATCAAGTAACGAATAATGAATTATTGAGTTCTACAAATTGTCCACCTCTATCTTCATAAAATTTACAAAACACCAAAAATCCTGTTTGTGTATCATGGTTGTCCCATTCACTAAACTAAAGTTAGAAACAAAACAAAAAATTCAATGCCAGCCTTATTATTTAAATATGGATCAAATCTTCTATTACTGTGTCCCTTATAACAAAATTGTAAACAATTAATTAATCATTCCTTCATCTATGTTATTGACGTAAATCAGATCCTAAGACTGAGGCACTCCACTTGTGACACCAATCCAATTTGAATGAACTCAATTTATACAAACCCTCTGCTTTCTTCCATCCAGCTATTTTTCTTTCAACTTATTTCCCACACCTATGTAGATAATCATAGTGCAGTTTTATAGGAAACATGAAAAGAACAATATATTAAAGGAAATTTAAGTACAGAATTTATCAAAAATGGCAGTTCTGTAACGTGTTAAAAATATAAATATTCAAAGGTTCTGGAGGCCCTGGTGTAACACATCATTTGCACCTCCCCTAGTACGGGTACTGATCTTAATAAACAACTAAATGGGAAATTAAAAATTTCTGTACGGTTAACTTAAATTACTTGATTTGTTTCTTTCCCTCTAAATATTCATGCAAAGCTACTCAAGAGCTATCTGCTCCAAAGTGCATAGTGCAATTATTTGTTTTTTACAGAAAATGGATGCAAATATAGGACTTACAGATCCATAGTCTGGCATGCTAGCTACTGGTCTATAAAATCATTTAATATCATTGCCATTATTTTAAATGTAATTTGCTAACATTAGCAAAAGGAATTCCATACATTTTACATTCAAGTACAGGACTATGAAAGTTTCCAATGGCCAATGAATTTGTCAGACAGTAAAGTAAACATGCACATCCATCCAAAAGTTACAACAAGAAAAAAAAAAAAGACTTGTGATCTAACAGTTATGATTGTATCATTTCAATAGAGCAATCAAATGCCAGAAATTTTTTGAATTCTCCCAGAAAATGATTCTGACAATCTAGAATATTTGGATCATTTCCATTTATCATATATATATACTGTATACACATGTTATATATAAAGTTCAGATAAATTATTTCAAGTGTGGGTTAAACTTAATAAATTTAAAGCATAAGAACTCAATTAAAAACATTGTTTTAAATATAAAGTCCTGAAAACATATCGTAAAGAGTTGGTCACCCTGTTTCTAGCTTCAGTGGGATACTCGTTAGACGCAATTTAATAATATATTATTTTAGTGAATGTAAAATGTTTAAAACTCAATTAGATTAAATAGGTCCTGACAATATAAATTTCAAACACTTTTTATGAGAAAAAAATAATACTTAAAAATTATTGCCACTTATGACAAACTACCAGTATCATATGCATATTTTACATCAAAATTTGAGCTACAGACTGCTCTTATTACTTGCCTGATCTACAGCCTGAAGCTTAATGTCATTACACTAAACAAAACTTTTTTATTCGTCTTACAACAGAACACACTTGAAGTTGAAGGCCCTCTAGGTCATATATGATTGGCATACAAATAGAAAACAAACATTTTCAATTTGATTTTAAAGAAAATTTTACCTATTTGTTTTTTAAATTATATGGTAAACTGACTGTTGGTATGCTTTTAAAACCTTTCAAATACAACTTCATAATTACATTCACTATCAGATGAAAAAAAAAACATTAAGTACAGCTATGACATGTTTCATTAAAAGAAAGTACATAATGTGCCCAGTATATTAGTGTTAAGCTTAAGGCTCTAATATTAGATCAGGTAAATGAAAAAATTTGACAAAAGAAGCTATTTTTGGAGCCTGAATATTAGCTAATGCCATACTAGGAACTACATTGTATTCTATTACTAACACGTATAATAACAAAGGAAACATTAGACACGAGTCCTTACTTTTTATAATTATAATAGAACTGTGTAAATATATTCTAATGGTTAAACACAAAAAACAATTTCATTAAGCCATCTAAAAAGCATTTAAAGACTCAATTGTTACATTTCCTGAGACAAGTATATTACAATCTAAGTTCACTCTAGTCTAATTGTAAAGGAAACTTGCTGCATAGTTACAAAGTTAGTAGATGTAGAACTTACATTCAAGTACTGTCCAATGATTCTAAAGTTTTATTTTTGAGTTCTAAGTTTTTTAATACAATACAAATGCTTGACGATGACATTTCGAAAACACTAAAAATAGCAGTAAAATTATTACTATACTGTATATACTAGTACTACTACTAGTAACACTAACACCAGGAACAGTAGTACTAACTACTAGTGCTAGGATAATACTAACTTATAACAATATAAGCCTTATTATCACACACTTTTATTACCAAAAACATTAGTATTGCGATTAATAATATTATTTCTATTAAAATTAATATTATTACTATATATAATATTATTATTGGGCTACCTTAACATTATCTTCAAAGCCTTCATCTGTAAGAGTTTCTTTTTTTCGGTTGTAATACAGCATCACTGCGTACGTCGATAGTCCTATAACTAAACCGCCGCCAACAATTACTAAAACTTTTGACCATTTAATTACTTTATCAAGCTTTAAATTTGACAATTTGAACTCCATATCATAATATCATTAAAGACCCAAGGTAATTTGATTTACTCATTTGTTGGCAGACAAAATGCTAAAGACTGAAGTTAGGTCAAATTCAGTGTGACAACAGCGATCGAAGTTGCCATCTCAATGACTGTATAAGAAGTTTTATGAAAAGGTAAAATAGTCAAATCCTGCGATTATTATGCAATTCTGAATAACGCATTATGTATAGGATTGTACACTCAATTATACACCTATAAACTTGTTACACCAAGTTATGTCTCTTAGTGGGTCATTTTTTAAGTTAGCAAATTTTAAAACGCTAAAATCCGAGGTTCAATTCTCTGTGATGTACAGAAGATAGCTTATTCTGTGACTTAAAACTAAAACAAACACACAAACATTAACTTAAATAGGTAAATATTCTAATTAAAAGTAAATTATTTATTTTTCGTTATATTAATTGTAGTTTTATCTAGCACTCTTTGCTAGTCAAAATTATTAAGTACGGTAGTACTTAATAGTAGGGATCAACAATGTTTCCAAATAATTCTAGCGCCGAAAAACCACCTTATTGAATTCCTAAGCGAAAAACCGATCACTCAAAATATTAGTTACGATATATGATGCGTATATATACTAACAATACACTAAAAAAGGGTCGCTAACAATTCCAGTATGACAATTCAAAATTTCTAAAACAACAACTTTTTCGTCTACTATCTACCTACCTGATCACGTCAGCGGTGCTAGCGCCTAGACGGCTTGGACTATCGGTACCAAAATTTCTCTAGCTTACTTGACTGGTCCGTTTTTTTTTATATATATATTCTGATAAATATATACAGATTTTTTTTATAAATGGCAAACATATCAAATATATTTTCAACCCAATTAAGCCCAACAGATGGCGCTACATATCGATGGATAGACACGCGACAGTTTCTAAAGGTAAAATTTATATATGTTATTCACTTATAACATTAAAGTAAACAAACAAGAGTATTAAAAAATATGAATATTAAAATGAAGTAGGGATACTACTGCAAAAAGTAATGAAACAAGAATTAAAACTACAATAATAAATTTATAAAATCTAATCCAGTTTGTACACTTATCTGTATGCCAGAGTAAGGATTACATTTTATAAATTTGTGATTGTGGTATTAATTCTTGTAAAAGTTAAAGCTATCAATGATATGGCTATACTGAAATTTTATAGATGTTGTGTCCATTCCATGGATATATGAAAACTGAATAAATAAACAAAAAAAAATAAACTTTTAACAGAAAGTATGGAACATTGGTTATTCGTAGAATTGCTATAAAAAGTATTTAAAACAAAATTTATGCTACAATAAATAATACACAAAAAAGTAAAGTGATATTAGTTGGCTAGGTTTTAAAACGATTTTCAATCCCTACTCTGGTTGGCAAATTTAAACTGCTTCATTTAGCTATACAGATCACAATGCCAATCAAAGGAGAGATTGAAAATCGTTTTACAATCTTTATAAATTAGGAAGCGAATAATAAAAGAGAAAACTGATAGGCAGATGCCAATTGTTGAAATTTAAACCTGATATAGCTAACATAAATGCACCATCTGTAAATTATCAAAGTCAACACGACTTCCGCTAGGGAAGCTATTTTTCACTCATCTGTGAATTATTCTAATATAAATTTAATAAATAGTAATGCATTTTGGTTGCAGTTAGAGATAATTATATTTTTATACAATTTTCTTGTTAAATATCACGTAAAATAATGTGTACAGTTTTGGTTTTCGTATTTAAAAAAAAAATTGGTGGGTTAATTGGAAATGGTTCATTTGATGACTTCTTGATGATTACGGGGTTGGAAGGGCTATCGATGGTGAATATGTTGAGATCTTATCGCTTATTTTCTCTTACGAAATGAAAAGCGATGTCCCATATACTCTATTACTACCAACAGCATACTACTTGGATGATTTAAGAGACGTTGTACGTATTTTTGTTATTATGTTATATTTAAATGTAAAAAAAAAGCTGTAGCTTATAAACACTCAAATGTAATATTTATAAATTCATTATAAGTTTGATTATTGCTGAGCACTGAGTCACACAACGAACTATCTGTGCTCTACGCACTACAAGTATCGAAACCCAATTTTAACGTCGTAGGCCTACAGACTTCCCTCTGAGTCACTGAGGGGATCATTATAAGTAACTGTTTGATAAATGTTAAACTGAAATATGTAGCTTACAAAAGCTCAGATGGAATATTCATGAATAATTAATTAGTAAATTTATTGAATATTGTAAAGAAGAGATAAGGTGTAGCTGTTTTAGAACTGAGCTACACATTGGACTTCCTGCGCTCTGTCCACCATGGGGAATCGACCACCGGAAGTTAGCGTTGGATTTAGGACTAGCCTAAATCTCATATGTATGTGCATAATGATTTACTATTTAATTACAATTGTAATCTTCTTATTCATTTTCTATGCACCAGTAAGTAAGTCATATTCTGTTCATTTTTAAATGTTAGTTTCATTAATTGTGTTAGTTAAAATCTTGAATATATATAACATTTTCCTATTTTTAAGTTTTTAATTATGAAAATTGTTTTTCATTGTTAGCTTAGTATAAAGATTATGGACTAACCTAAGTATCCGAAGCTGGACAAACCTCGTGAGATATATTTGGGGCTACGGCCGAAAATACGCAATTGATGAATAAATACATTCTAATCATCATGAGTATTGCATACTCCTAATTAAACGAGTATAGTATATTATATATATATACATACATTCGCTATAAAAGAAAAAATACATTTTTTTCGCTCAGCTGAACGTGGTTGCTAGAGGAGTTTCAATACCAGAGGTAAAAAAAAAAGAGGTTGGGCCCAGTTTATTGTTCTAACAATGAATTATTGTTTTTAAAGTTTTTATACCAAAAACTAAAAAAAACAAACAAAAAAACATCATATTTGAAAGCTTTTCAGTAAACGAACTGGGTTATCATTTTGTAATGTTAGAAGCGTCGTTATTTACTGTTTTTGCTTATAGAACAAAGTTGATCTGCGGGTCCAGATGTTCGATCCCGCTGTGGCAAAATCGCGCTCCTTATTTTAGGGCCTTGGGTACTATTCAATCAGAAAAAAGTAGTCCAAGAATTGATAGTAGGTACAGTTGTCTGTCTTCTTAGTTTATCAGCTCAAAATTAGGGATAACTAGCGCAGATAGTCCTTGAGTAGCTTCGCGAGAACGTATAAAAACAAACCAAACAATTTCGTGGAACAGATGAAACATTCTATCTATAACGAAGTTATGAAAGTTTTATGGGAAGGGAGAGGTACCAAAACCACCATGTATTGAGACAAGAATATAACATATTCATTCACGAAATGTACACTAGGTGGCGCAACTTTCTTCGCTTCTGTTCAAATACAGAACAAAAAGATATTGACTTATTTGGAAGAAATATTTACGAAGATAAACGTGTAGATAAAACCATAAATTTTAAAAATGTACCCAATAAATGGTGATACGATGCGCCGAGATTTACTTCTAACATCAAATTTCAAGGCAACGTACATATCATTATTATAGTATTTTGGCACTTGTGTAAAAAGTTAAAATCATAAATAATATTCAACGTTAAACTGGTACACAGTTAAAAACGTTTTATTTAGGCCTATCTAACGTCACTCCTGAGGATGACGTTGTAACATCGAAACACGTAGAGTCGTCAACTTTTTGAAGGCCATAGATAGGCTTAAATAAAATGTTTTTAACTGTGTACCAGTTTATTAACGTTGAATATTATTTATGATTTTAACATCAGAAGTCCTTACAGCCGTCGAGTGTTGATAAAATGTTCTTGGGATGCCAACGAAGCCCCTTCCCCTTATTAACGTTGAATGTTATTTATGATTTTAACGTCAGAAGTCCTTACAGCCGTCGAGTGCTGATAAAATGTTCTTGGGATGCCAACGAAGCCCCTTCCCCCCTTATTAACGTTGAATATTATTTATGGTACATATCATTATTATAGTCGATTTCTCTGTTCTGTCTGTTTTAGTACGAAGCTACACAATGGGCTATCCGTGCTCTGTTCACTGCAGGGAATCAAACCACGGATTTAGCGTCTTTAAACCACATCTAAGCCACGGGAGAACTAGCCTATTTCGCGTACCATTGTTTCGATAGTACTAAACTTTACGATAATATACTCATATAATTCTTGATTTAAAATATTCGATTATTTCTGGTTGATTTTTTTGTAATAAGTTATTCGAGAGCTAGCAGCGAACTTCGTGATGGTTGAGATATGAAAGTGCACTAAAATATTTTCAAATCACAAAATAACTGTTAATACGTTTATAAAAGTTTTTAGTACTTCTGTTTATCTAGTTGTACATCTCTGGAAAAGTATTGAGGATTGTAATCAGGAAATGAAAACGTTCCCGTTGTATCAAGTGTATCACATCGAAACAGAAATGAAACCTACGAGATTGATATGTTAAACCCCAAAAGGTTTTCGAAGTAAACGCAAAGGTGTTTCATTCTTCTTTTCTTTACATCATCTCCACAGTGCGTCTGAAATTTTACATTTTTTTCTCCATCGTGCTATCGCTAAGTAATATGTTGAGTTAACTTCAATGTAAACTGTGTAATGACCTCAATAATGTACATTTCTAATATTGAAGGTACTATAGGCACTTCAATATTACAAGTGTAAGTTACTGACGTACGCATGCGCTATTTAAAGAATAAAGTTGTTTGTTTGTTTTTGAATTTCGCGCAAAGCTACACGAGAGCTATCTGCGCTAGCCGTCCCTAATTTAGCAGTGAAAGACTAGAGGGAAGGCAGCTAGTCATCACCATCCACCGCCAACTCTTGGGCTACTCTTTTACCAATGAATAGTGGGATTGACCGTCATATTATAACGCCCTCACGGCTGAAAGGGCGAGCATGTTTGGTGTGAGAGGGATTCGAACCCGCGACCCTCAGATTGCGAGTCGAGTACCTTAACCACCTGGCCATTCCGGGCCAACTTCATTCGACATATTATTTTCTTCAAGTTTTATTAAAAGTAGCACAAAAATTGAAAATAAACGTATATTAAAGTTGTAAAATC